CTCTATCCTGCTGGTTTCTACTGAAGTTTCTAGAAAGTGGAGAAAAGAAAAAAAAAGGTAATCATGCAATTAAAAAAGGCTTTGAAGTTAAAGAAAGGAAATGGTGCATATGTAGGTTTTTTAACTGCAGATTAGTACACTGTCACTGCTTTCCAACAGCACAAATGATGCATCATTGATTTAAAATAAACAACAGTGCCCACCAGTGTTCACAAGTGCTTGTAATAGTTTTTGGACAGTAATGGAGCTCAACAACAAAGAGGGAAACACATACAATACTTGTTATTAGGATGCATTAGTTGTTGGTTTGGGTCATTTTCATGGTTTGAGAATGTCACTTCACTTTAAATCAAGATGTATATTGACTCCAAACTACATTGCAGATCATTGCTAAATTTTTAAATGTAAAAGTGTTACGTTCAGCTGTGGAAGTGTGACTGAAAACCATCTACACACTGTGAGAAACTTGTGTCCAAACATAAATACTGCAGACACACATTGTATGCAGATGACATCACTCTGTATATTTCTGTTGAACTCAAGAGATGTCAGAAAATCTTGTGATTTTCAATAAAAACAGTCAATTCCAACATATCTGGGTGTCTTCATGCTGGTTTTCCATATATGCAAACACACACATGTCTAAGCTGAGCTGTGCACCCGTCCCTCTGCCCCACCACCTCCTCTAATTCTTAAGGGACAATACCAAAATATTCCCCTGGCAGCTCAGAGCCACAGTCACTCCAGCATGTCCTGGGTATGCCTCAGGTTCTCCTCCTAACTGGATGTGCCTGAAATACTTTGAAACCACTTTGGTGTGTAAATACCTAAATATTCAAACAGCGCCACCAGCCTATTGGCTGTGTGATGTGGCGGAAAATGGTACTGCAGGACGTTTCCTCTTTACAATCTGTATTGGTGGCTGCCTGTATTCATGTGAAAAGGCTTGACAGATTTTAAACATTACCCTGAACTGCTGGTGTGCTCACAGTCACTGAGTGTTTCTCTTTTTATTCCAGCACAGCAGCTTCATGCAGCTCCCGGGTCAGTCTCACTCTTCTACATCAGAGCTTCCTTGTGTGTCTTTATTCAGCTCCACTGTCAAACCAAACTGGAGACTTTTCATTCACTAGTTTACTGATATGTTATGAGCTTCACAAACTTGTAGACTGAGGTTTTCTTTGAACTATTTTATTAACCTCAAAACACAGAAAGTCCTTACTGAGCTCCATGGATGGGGCAGCTTGTGCCACTCCGACAATGTTTTCCTGCAAAACGTTTAAAACACATACAGCAATAACCGCTATAAGATCCTGATAAGAGACAGCCACAGTACAGATTCCATCTTGTGGGAAGTGCAGATTGAAAAATGTAAAATAGATGAGTGGATTTTAGCCTCCATCCACACTGAACCAGTATTTCCATCAAAAACATCCTCCTCCAGAGGGACATATGGTGTTGAAAGAGAAGGCACCAGTGAAGGAGTAACGGTGGAGGTTGCATCTCTGAATCCAAATGAAATGAAAGGAAAAGCATTAAAAACAAACAAGCTCCCCTTCAGAACACACACAGCACCGCTGCCTGACCCGACACATGAGCCTGCTTTCTGTCCAGCATCTCTCCTGGTCAGGAACTGGGCTGTACGGTTTGTGGTCACCGACAGACTTTGGATCACAGCGGTGTAAAACAGTGTTTGTCAGATGCCTCCCTGCTGTGAACTGGGCCGTGGTCTCTGCTCACACTCCGTCCTGGGCCCGGAGCTCGGAGCCTCCTGCTGCCTGCTGCTTGTGTCCACTCATGTCCTGCAGCAGGACCAAGTTGGACAGTCTCCACTTCCTGTACGTGGGCGCCGTGAGGGTGGCGTCACCGAGGATCTGCTCCACCGCCAGCAGCTCCGACTCTTTAGCCTGAAGAGGGGTTGAAACATACATTGACTTTAACAGGCTGAGCACACAGGGAGAGAATGTAATCGTGAATTTACTGTGAATTTATTCAGTCATCTTACGATACAAAAAATTATAAACAGTTCATACAGTACAAACAAGATAGTGACTGAAAAGGTGTAGGCCGAAGCAAAATGTGTACATATGCCCACCCTAAGTGCTTATCATTTTAAGCTACCCTCACCTAGAGACACTAGAGACAGAAGAAAGAAAAAAAACAACAATAACGATTATGATAACAGCGCAACAAATCTTTGTTAGTCTTCTTCTTGTCTTCCTTGTCTTGCCCTCACAACATGTACAAAACCGGACAGCAGTGACCTTTAATGAACATTTCCGACATCTTGTGGAATCCATGACACTCAGAACTGAGGCTGTTTGAGCACAAACAATGTTTCAATCCCGTTTCTGTAGATTTTTAACAGTATTTTGCGTAGATGTGTAGCGATAGCGTTTTAGTTTTGTTGGACTCTTGTGTAATTACTGTCACTGTCAAAAGGAGGAGACAAAAGCTTCAGGTACAATACTTGAGTGAATGTCACTTCAACAATTGATAATTAGTTACAAGAGGTGAATTTTCTCCTCCTTGCCAGAAGCATGTCCTGGTCTGATCCCATCTGGTTTGTTTTTAGCATCAAGATAAGACAAAAGTGGGACTGACCTTTAATGTGCTGCTCAGGATTCGCAGCAGGTGAAGCTTTTCGTTGACTTGGTCGTTCTGACATCGTCGGATGAACGAAGCTCTGAAGTCCCTCTGATTGGACTGTCCAGTCGGAGACAAGCTGGCTGCTTTTAGGTGGTTGTAGAGGCACTCCATCTCATCAGGTGGCTTCTCTGAAGGCAGGAGGAAGTGAGTAAGTAAGTGAGTAAGTAAGTCAGTGAGTTAAAGCAGCAGCAGTAGCCATGGTGACCAGAGGAGTCTGCAGGTGTTTACCTTGGATGGCACCACCTTCTCTTTTATCTTCGACATGGAGCCGAGGGACGGACAGAGCACCGCTGGCTCCGTCCTGTCTGGGAAGGTCCAGCCAGGAGAGACGCTCACTGCTGTCTGGTGCTGGTTTTCTCCGTCTGTTTCTGCTTAAAGTGCCGGCTGCTGAGGTGCATCTACGTCTGTTTTTAGAGGAAGGTGTTGCAGATGGGACTGAAGTACAGGATACAGAATCACCGCAAGGCTCAAGATCAGCTCCCTGTAAGAAAGACAGAAGGTTTCACCAGTCGAGCACCTTGGAAGTCATTCAGCTTTAAAGCATATTGGTTTGTGTCATTTCTGGGTTTCTAGGTTCCAT